GAGTTATTGTTACCTGTTCCACACAACATGAATGAATCTTGGAAACATGGAAAGGGAAAAAGCCAGTCATCCAAAACAGCATATGTGACAATTGACTATTGCCCAGAAAAATAAAATATATACAGATGTAAAAGACTAGTGTTTGCTTAGAATTAGAGGTCATGAGGGGCGTGGAGAATGACAGGAAATAGGTTGGTACTTTTGGATGATGGGATGCTGTAAGTTAGATTGTGATGAGATAGTTGGATACTTCTGGGAATTATATCTCAAAAATCTGTTTAAGATGTTTTAAAAGCTAGAGTGTTCAAAACAATGCAAAATAAAGGCATATTTTCCTCATGTAGTAATATCTGTAATTGAAATATACTGTGTGGCCTTCTTTAGTCACTGTCAATCAAATAAGAATGTTTTTTTCACTATTTGAAAACATACTTTCTAACATAAGCATAGCAGAATTAGGATAACTGTAGAACTAAGAAGCATTTAGGTAAAATTTAAAAGTTGTGGGACTGGAGAGATGGCCCAGAGGTTAAGAGCACTGGCTCCTCTTCCAGAGGTCCTGAGTTCAATTCCCAGCACCCACAGGGTGGCTCACAACCATCTGTAATGAGATTTGGCGCCCTCTTCTGGCCTGCAATGCAGGCATCCATGCAGACAGAACACTGTACACATAATAAGTAAATCTTAAAACAAAAATTGTGCTAATTGTGGTGGGTCACATTTAAAAATGGATCAAAATAAAGATTTAGTGTTGCTCCTTTACAATACATGGATTTACAATACTTGCACAATGTTTATATACTGATAACCTTTACTGAATGAAATAAGCAAAGACTTGAATAAGTCTCTGTATTAGTCAGCTTTACATCCCTTCAGCAAAACACCTGAGGTAGCTAAGTCATACAGAGAAAAAGGTTACTTCGCCCACGATTTTGGAAGTTCAGAGTCCTAGATTAGGCAGTCCTGTTAGTTTTGGCCTGTGGTGAGGGTGGCATATGGATAGCATATCGTGGTAGCTTGTGTGGGAACATAGTTACATCTTGAACAGGAGTAGAGAACAGGGATGGACATAGCAGATTTCTTCCTTTCATAACATTGAGTTCTCTCACCTGATACACCCAGTGATGTATGTAAAGCTTTCCCACCAGATCCTACCTCCCAAGGGTCCACCACCTCCTACTTGGGACCAAGTGTGTAATCACAATGGACTTTGGAGAGGGCAGGGCAGACTCAAGCTGTAGCAATGTATATAAATGTAAAAATGCAGTACTATAAAGGGCATCTTTTGCATAAAATACAATATTATAAAGGGCATTTGTAATAATATAGTGAAGTCTGAATAAAAAAATCCAGCAAGACTTTTTATATAACCTTATAATATAACTTTATATTTATAACTATATAATAAAAAGATTCCCAAATACAAGCTAACAAAGCAGATGACTCCCGTCTGTTGACCTTCACTTATCAGAAAGCTGAGGTAATGGTAAGTGTGTGAAGTGCAGGCGTCCACTACCAGGTAACACACAAGAGCTTGCCCTGGCTTAGGGGTTGCAGTTTAGTGCAGCATTGTCAATAAATCAGCTCATGCCTCAGGCTTGTTGATCAGCAGGAAGATTAATGAGGTGATAAATGCTCCCCAAAGCACTTGGGAGAACTGAAGACAAAATGTTGATAAGATTTATGAAACACAAAACTGGCTTATTTGTTTATCACCAGCCAGGTGATAAAACCGTAACATTTTCAGACATAAATTATTTGTGTATCTATTGGAGTAAAATAGCTACAAGTTAATGTCAGGTTTTTACAAAGATGTATTTATTTTATGTGTATGAATATTTTGCCTGTGTGTATGTGTGGGCACCATGTGTGTACCTGTGTGAGCCTGGTGTCTCCAGGAATCAGAAGAGGGCACTGAGTCCCTGGGGATCTGGAGCTATGGATGGTTGTAAGCCATCACAGGGGTGCTGATAATCAAACCTGGGTCTTCTCTAAGAGCAACAGGTTAGCTGCTGAGCCATCTCTCCAGCTCGAATGTCCCATTTTCTAGAATATAAATGTTAGTGGTAAGTGACCAGCCAAGCATGGGCAAGCAAGTCTCTAGGGAGTGAATATTCCTGCCAGTGCTGTAGGATCCTGCGAGGACTTCAGTCTCCCTTTGTTGTCTCATTTCTGAGCTGACAAATGGCTGGAGGATGGGTTGTTGATTGCCTATCTTAGGAGGAAGGGAGGGATTGGGGGTGGAGGTTAAATGTAGCTCACACTGTACTCAGAACCATATTCCAGGTATAATATAATGTACTGTGCTATTTTCTCTACTTTGTACATTTGGAACATTTCTAGTTTTTTTTTTTTTTTTTAAAGGAGAAAATAGGTTCTGATGAAGTACAGACAGGAATTTATACTGAATGAGTTAGGTGTGTAAATTCTGAGTGGCTGCAGACAAAAGACCAGCATGGCATGTTTGGTTCTGTGCCCTGTCTGACCCAGGAGCAAGCTGTGGTTTTATAAGTTCTCTGCCATCTAGAATCCTAGTTGTCTGCAGGACAGATGCTGCTTACTTGCATTCTCTCTCTCTCTCTCTCTCTCTCTCTCTGTGTTTCGAGACAGGGTTTCTCTGGCTCTATTCATCCATTTGTCTGTCTGTCTGTCTATATATTGTTTTTTTGGGACAGGGTTTCTCCGGAGTGCTGGCATCAGAGGTGTGCACCTCCACCAACCGGCTCATTTGTTTGCTTGATGAGAGTCTTGGTTGGGAAATGTCATGCTGACAAGGATGTGACGAAGGCCACCCAAGTCCTAAGGGAGGCAGGGATCTGCACTGTCAGTATCCGCAGCCTGGTTTCCTTCCTGTTTCTCTGGAGGTCCCTCCTGCCACATCATTGGCATCCTTCTGGGAAGGCAATACATCCTCATTACTCTGCCAAGTAATTTTCCTGTATTGCAGAAGAAACTGCAGAGGGAGGAGCTGGAACAGGGAAGTTAAGGAGCTGTGTGGAGAACTGTGTCTTCTGGTCTTAAGAATGAAGTTTTGGCTCCTGCCAGAAAAGAAGACACACCCTTGGTGGCATATTATGACCAGATCCCTGGAGGAACCCATGGAGAAGGGGAGATGGGTAGACACACGTACCTTACATTGCTATTTGCAAGTAAAGTGTGTTACAGAACATCCACCCTAGAAAAGCACCTGATCCTGAGCAAATACTGGTGGTTAAAAGCACAGTTTGCCGGGCGGTGGTGGCGCACGCCTTTAATCCCAGCACTCGGGAGGCAGAGCCAGGTGGATCTCTGTGAGTTCGAGGCCAGCCTGGTCTCCAAAGCGAGTTCCAGGAAAGGCGCAAAGCTACACAGAGAAACCCTGTCTCGAAAAACCAAAAAAAAAAAAAAAAAAAAAAAAAAAAAGCACAGTTTGTGGCATCATGGGCTGGTTGTGATATTAATGTAAAATGTGAAACAGAACTTCTGGGAATTTAGTGTGTAAAAGCATAAAGGGTTAGAAGGATGTAATTTGAACTTTTGTTAGCAGACTCAGGTCTGGCCACTCACCTAAGCCAGTACTGAGGTAATAAGAAGCCGGTGGGAAGGAAATCGGTTTTATTGAAGAGCTGGCATTCAGGGCCACAGGCATGGGCACATACACCTGTGACCTGGCACTCTTGAGGCTGAGGCAAGGGTCGTGTTCAAGGCCAATCTGGCTATAGAGCAAACTTTTGTCTTTAGAAACAAAACAACAGCGGTGCTGGAGAGATGGTTTACTGGTTAAGAAAATTGGCTGCTCTTTTTTTTTTTTTTTTGGTTTTTCGAGACAGGGTTTCTCTGTGTAGCTTTGCGCCTTTTCCTGGAACTCACTTGGTAGCCCAGGCTGGCCTCGAACTCACAGAGATCCGCCTGGCTCTGCCTCCTGAGTGCTGGGATTAAAGGCGTGCGCCACCACCGCCCGGTGAAAATTGGCTGCTCTTTGAGAGGACCTGAGTTGAATTCCCAGCACCCACATGGTAGCTCCTACCATCTGTAACTCCAGTCTCCAGGGATGTGACGCCGGTTTCTGGCTTATGGGTCACCAGGCTCTCACACGTGGTACACAGACATAATTGCAGGCAGAACATCCATGTGCATTAGACAATAACAGCAAAACCCAACATCCTAAAAAGATGGGTAGCTGCTGTCTCAAAGCTCTGCCTTATGAATATAATAAATACTGTAATGAAATATGTATAGCTTTACTTGGGGAGAAATGTCTGAGTCAGGCTTGGTGGCTCATATTTGTAATCTCAGCACTTGGGAGGCCGTGGCAAGAAGATTGCTGTGAGTCTGAGGCTGGCCTGGCCACCTGGAGACGGACCCTAACTGAAAACAAAACCAAAAACCCTGGAAGACCATACATGCGTACGAATGATCTGGGTCAAGCACAGTGACAGACACACTTATGATCCCAGGATTTGGCAGACAGAGTCAGAAGGATCGCTGCAAGTTTGAGACCAACATAATCTACATACTGAGTTCTGGCCAGCCAGGACTATGTAGCCAACCCCTGCCTATCCTCGCCCCCTTCCTCAAAAAGGCGGGGAGGGGAAGAAGTAAAGAAAAGGGATACAAAAGATAGCAGGCAGTGGGAATTTCAGTATATTGTTTGCGTGTTAAAATATAAGGAAAATCAGTCTCCCGATGGCTTTTCTCTCTTCTCTTTTTTTAAGACAGGGTTTCTCTGTGTAGCCTTGGCTGTCCTGGAACTCAATTTGTAGATCAGGCTGGTCTCGAACTCACAGAGATCTGCCTGCTTGCCTTCCAAGTGCTGGGATTAAAGGCATGCACCACCACCGCCCGGCTCCCAGTGGTTTAATTTCAGGAATGTTTAACATGAAGTAGAATTAAGTTGAAGTAGAGGTGCATTCTAGAAAATGATTGACAGGTGTGTATTGGTGTGCACTGTGCTCTCACGTTTGTGCAGCCCCTTCTCACTGAACAAAGAACTGAAACCCTCACTGCTTTTTAATCAACAGGTCTCCCTCGGACATGGCAACAAGCGGCTTTCACTTCGTACCATGTGACACCAAACGGGCATCCAGACAGCTTGGAGCATCTGCTGTGGGCAGGTCAGAAGACTGCTGGGATTCTTAGGGGACTGCAGTTCACCAGTGAGGTGGGGGTGGGCCTAGGCAATTAGAGCGTCCATTTTGTGAGTTAGAGAAGATGCATGCAAGAGGACCCAATAGTATAGTAAGAGCAAAACTAAACTAAACTTGGGGGACACAGCTTCTTGTCCCCCCCCCAAAATAGCATTATTTTGTGTATGTGCACGTTGTGTGAGAATGAGTACCACTGCACATTTGTAGAGGGTAGAGGACAACTTGCAGGAGTTAGTTCTCACCTTTCACTGTGTGGGTCCGGGAAATTGAACTCGGCTCCTCAGGCTTGGTAAAGATACTGGCTTATCTTTAAACTGTAAAACTTTCGTTTTGTTTGCTGAAGTGTTTATCTGTTTATTCTTTATTCATAAAGCCTTGGGAGTCAGATATCGGAGTAAGAACTTGAATGATCAGAGAAGTGGCAGAATAGGGACCAGTGACCTCCTCTCTCTCCCTCCTCCATCCGAAAAGGCTGAGAATCTTTCTAAGCCCCGCCTTACTCTTCCTGTATCTCTGTATGTCCTTGGTCCTCCAAAACCTCTATGGCTAATTTTGATCTAGTTAGCTAGCTCCACCCTCTGATTCAAAGTGAACTTTATTGGCAGTCTCAGTAGCGTCAGAGTGTGATCAAAATATCCCACAACGGTTTGCTTTGTGTGTGTGTGTGTGTGTGTGTGTGTGTGTGTGTGTGTGTGTGTGTTTCTTTGTAGCTGGGCAGGCCTAGAATTGGCTATGTAGCTGAAGAAGACCTTGAATTTCCTGATCTTTCTGCATGACGTTCTGGGATTACAGGAGTGGGCTACCACACCTGACCCATAATAGATTTTTAAATCTCGTGTTGTATTACTATTATTTTTCTTCCTTTTATTTTCTCATGACCTTGGCTTAAAAATGCGTTTTAAGAAATTAATCTACTGTAAAAACTCAGGAGCCACAGAAAGCACAAAGAGAACGGGATGTAATGTCAGTATTTGTAGTCTTCTTAGATTTACTAACTTGTTTAAATTGGGATCATGTCACAGTGTCCTGTAGTCTGTTTTTTAAACTTATATATCATTATGTTTTCTTCTTTTTTTTTTTAAGGTAATTTTTTTATTTTGTTATATTTGTATTGGTGTTTTGCCTGAATGTATGTCTGTGTGAGGGTGTCACATCTTGGAGTTAAGATAATTGTGAGCTGCCATGTGGGTGCTGGGAATTGAACCCGGGTCCTCTGGAAGGGCAGTCAGTGCTCTTAACTGCTGAGCCATCTCTCCAGCATTGTATCTTCCCTTCCTTATAGGTATTTTTACAATACCATATTCACTTGCCAATCATCGTCCTTTCTAATTTATTCTAGAATTGAGTTAACAGGTTTCTGAACATGTAAGTTGGGTTTTTTTAAAGTGTGTGTGTGTATGTGTGTGTGTGAGTGTGGGTGCTAGTGTACCATGGTATGTGTGTTGAGGTCAGAGGACAGGCTCCCCTGTAATCCTCACTGTCCACGTCACACAGGATGCCTTTGTCAGCCGCTCACTGCAGTCGACCGGCACAGGCTCTGAGGGGTTGCCTGTGTCCACTTCCTGCGTCACCGTCACCGCAGCAGTGCTGGGCTGGGCCGAGAGTTACTGCATCCGGGTTTACACGGGTCCCGGGGATATGAACTCCCGCTGAGTCCTTTACCCACCGAGCGTTTCCTTAGCCCTAAGTTGTTATTTTATGAGTTTCAAGGCATTTTTGTTTTGTCTTAATACCCATGAGATTTGAGACAGGGTTTCTCTGTGTAGCCCTGGCTGTCTTGAAACTCACAGAGATCCGCCTGCCTCTGCCTCCCGAGTGCTGACATTAAAGGCGTGCACCACCATGGCCTGGCTAAAATTGTTTGTTCGTTCGTTCACTCATTCATTCATTCATTCATTCATTCATTCATTCATTCATTTAGTGTTTTCTATTCTTACTTAGAGGTTTGTGGAGCTTTTAAGTTTATATATCGGGTCTTCATTTTAGATTTCACATTTGGAATTAGCTATTACAAGTGTGTTCATTATACTTAGGAATTTGGTAAATCGTCTTGGTATGGAAGGGGTTGGAGGAATGGAGATAAAGTTGGAAATAACTTGTAATAATCTTAAATTATTTTCCACATTACTTTTTAAAAATTCCAAATGCTCCTGCTCATGGAAATATGAGGGGGTTTTTTCCTAGAAAGAAATATTTCCTTCTCATAGTTATCCTCTAATTCTTGTTTCCTAGGTAACTCCCACGTCAGCATTTATAAAGCTGTGTTTGAAAAGAACTGAAAGCAGTGGTAAATAAGGTCAGAGCTGGACTGAGGCTGTGGCCCAGGAATCTTAACTAATGCCCCGACCACAAATGCTGTTTCTGGAGACAGCACAATAAAAAAGGGAGTGTTTGGAGGGAGAGGTGACCGGGACAGAGGAGCTTTGCAGAGAGAATGAGTTCTAGCGAGAGCCACAGACGTGGGGGAGGGACGAGGATTTGAGGGTGGGTGAATTCTGGAATCTGGTCTACAAGGTAGATGTAAAGAGGCGTGCATGGACGCAGGCTGGGAAATGAATGTCCTTTGCATTTTGTGGTTAATTGTTGAGAATGGAGGGAGTTGGGGCAGGAGTCAGGTTCTGGTGACAGATGTCAACTCTTGAAGTTCTTGCAGCAGGGAGGGAAGGTGTGTTAGTCAGCTTTTGTTACTATAAAGACTACCAAAGGCAGTCAACTTAGAAAAGCTTCTGTGTCTCCCAAACCTCAAGTCTGGCGTTTCCCCTGCTTTTGGCTCTGTGATGAGCTGCACATTGTGCACATGGCAGGGCAATTGTACCATGGCCAGGGATGGAGACCGGAGGAGGAAGCCAGGCCACCACGGTCCCCTTTAAGGGCATCTGTCCATCACCTAAAGATCTTCCACTTGGGCCCCACCTTTTAGAGACTTTACCATCCCCAGATAACACCTTTGGACACCAACACTTTAACACATGGGTCTTTGGGGACATTCCAGATGCAGGCTAGCAGAGAAGCCATGGTAGGACACAGAGCAATTCTGAGGGAGAGTTATTTCTGTGTTTAGTTTGCTTAAGTAAAAAGGAGTGAGATTTGTGCATGTGTCGGAGCTGAGGAGGAAAAGTTAGATAGACACCCAGGAACATGTGGAGATCAAATGCGAGAAATGGGGTAGAAATGATTTTATTATAGTATTAACACTTGCAGATTTTGGAGCCTTAGCAAAACTGAATGTCCCCACCCTCTTCCTCAGAAGATATTCTACTGAGGTCAGTGAAGCCTCCAGCCTTTCAGAAGTCCATGGGCGTGGCTGGTATTTGGTGGCACAGGAAGTAACCAGCTTACTGCCTGTGTTGCAGCTCCTCAGCTGCCCCTCCCCACAGACACCTGCCTGCTTCTCCAAACAGTGCTGTAAGGCAGGCAGGTCAAGAGTCTGGGTCACCAGTTAACAAACAGGAAGCACTAGATGTCACCTGAGTTGATAGGGATGCTGCAGCTGTAGTTGGAAGGCAAACACCCCGTGCTCTGCCCTTTTGTGATTCCCTCTGCCCTGGTGATTGGCCTCTTGTTTGTTTAGTCTCAAATCATTTTGATGGTGCTGGTTTCTTTTGATTCTCCCTCAGCCTAGAAATAGGAGAGAAATCTTCCCATAGAGGGATTTGATGCCTAGAGAAGTACATGGCTGCCAACTAAGATCCTTTGTGGCTCTGAAATTCTGAGTTTGTATTTATTACTGGTATCTTTAAAGGGCACCAGTGATGAAATTACAGATTTCTGTACATTTTGTGCTTTTCACCTCCAGTTTCTTAATAGACTAGTTGCTGAAGTAGTTGTGTTAAGCATTTTGGAAAAGTGAGGAGAGACTCCTTGTTGGCCCAGACTTTTCCCTTCACCTCATCCTCTTACTGTACCCCGTAGTTAGAGAGGAGACATGCTCTTAGGTCTTCACTCAGATAGCTTTCCATGCAGGTGGGCTGTTGGAAAAGTTGTTCATTTTCAGATCTTAAGGATGAAGTGTATCATAGTCGTTGTGATGTATTTGAAGAATTCATGAAAGCAGGAGTCTGGGGTCTCAGGCTAAAGGGATGGAGAGAAGCCTCTTATAGATCTATTTACTCCTCACTTGCTAGCATGGGTACCACTTCAGCCCCATGTGGGTACAAAGCAGTGTCAGTTACTAATGAAGGCTGCTTTGGGGGAGTCTCAGCATCATGAAGGAAATTATGGCCACTGAGGAGGTAGAATTCCAGAGACTGTATAGTAGGGTGAGGTTCCCAAATGGTTAAGTCATTGATTGTGGCAGACTTTTGAGTAGAGGCCAGTGTGAGAGGAGGGGACTTTGTTTGGATTGTTTGGTAAAGAAGGCCGTCTAGAGAGCCACTGCTTGTCAAGAACACAATTAGAGTTGAATCAATCTGTGTATGAGGGGCTTGTTAAAGCAGGGTCGGGCCCTGCAGGTAGATTGGCATTGATCTTGTTCTCCTGCCCCAGCCTCCTATGTGCTAGCTTTATGAGTGCCTGGCTATGTTCCTTTCAGACAGGAGGAAACTGAGGTAAATGCCTTTTTAAATCCTGCACAGCCCACTGTCGATGCGAATTTGTGGGGTGTCCCCTCTGCCTTTACTAATTAAAGAGAAAAAGACAGCAGGAGAGTCTGCTCCGGTTATTTGCTGTAGGCTTCTGAGCCTCTGGACCTCCATGCCTGAATCATTAGACAGGAGGGCTGTTGGGGTCTTTGAGTACAGTTGGGGTCTTGGATTGGAGAATGTTGGAAAATCCCACACTCCTTAGTAAAGATCTATGAAGAGTAAAGTCATGCCCCTCTCGCCTTCTGCATGTTGGAAGGGTTAAGTTCCTCTTGGGAAGACCTGTTTCCTTGGCATTTTTGTGTAGAGCAGTGTTTCTCAACTTTCCTAACACTGCAACCCTTTATTTATTTATTTATTTATTTATTTATTTATTTATTTATTTAT